TAGGAGAATGTATAGTCACATAGATGTAGGGACATAGGAGAATGTATAGTCACATAGATGTAGGGACATAGGAGAATGTATCCTCACACAGATGTAGGGACATAGGAGAATGTATAGTCACATAGATGTAGGGACATAGGAGAATGTATCCTCACATAGATGGGTATAGTATGTTGGAAACACAAGAATATAGTATCACATAGCAATATTAGTAGTAAGGTTTTACGGCGCTCGCAACTGCATAAGGCCATATGAGCGCCAAGGAGTGGATGTCAACAGAGAAGTCCAAATGGGGAATCAGGCTTACTCCGCTCACCTCTCTAGCTTCAACAGCACAAAGTCTGCTTCGACTATCAAGGTACCCCGGAAATAGCAGTTCACAAGCGAGTGACAAACATACAAAAGAAATAAGAGGAATAATGACAATAGTAAGGATGGGGAAAGCAGAAGTTCCCCCTATGTTGTTCCGGCACAGTATGAGCATGACATTGACAAATCAGCCCATTTACAATTCTACTGTGCATGAGAACATGTTAATATCCACCCTTTGATATAGATGGGTATAATATCAGTAAATACAAGAATATAATAATATGTGTCACGACGTGGTGGAATCAGGCGCTCCGTCAATTTTTGGGCATGAGGGGTTATTGGTAATATCTTAAAGTCTGTTCATTTGCCTTCCCTTTGGTGAAAAGAGTATTCATCTATGTTGAATAGAAGTCAAGACATCTGCGATTGAAGAAGGTCAGGCCTCTTGGTATGGTGAGAATGTAACATCACACACAACATGAGGACACACAGGCGAGACAACGACCGTCGCCCAACTCACTCACCTCCTCCTCCGCCGTCAGCGTGGACTGTTGGTTGGACAGATAGGACAAAAGTTTTTCCACGTCCTCTATCTCTTCCTGGCTGATGTCATCGACTGAGGACACGATGAGAAGACAAGATAAGATAAGACAAGACAAGACAAGATAGGACAACAGTTCCTCCACGTCCTCTATCTCCTCCAGGCTGATGTCATCGACAGAGGACAACACGGGCACGATGAGATGAGATGAGATAACAGATCGCAAGACAAGACAATAAAAGATAAGATAAGATAAAACGAGGCAAGATAAGATAATGTAAGATACAATAAGATAAGGCAAGACGAAATAAGATAAATTAAGACAAGACAAAATAAGATAAAGTAAGATAAGACAAGAAAAGAACAAACAATATAAGATAAGACAAGATGAGATAAGGCAAGAAAAAGATAAGATAAGATAAGACAAATAGTTGTTAACTTTTCAACCAAAAACAGAGTCTTTCCATTCGCAGGGTCAAGATGGTCATTAACATGTGACCAGTACTTTAACACTCACAGTAATGTCGGCGACTTTAGTCTCCAGGCTGCAGTATGAGCTAACCACCACTGGAGACTTTAGTCGCCGACATGACCAGGCACACTAAACATAATTAAAGAACAAATAGACGCACTGCACTGAGGTAAACACCAAAGAATGGTTGATGAACCTCTCTGAATTTTTAAAGCGTGTTTCTTGGGCTGTCAAGGTGTTTCTGATCTAATTTTTAAAAAAATTCTACCACGGATTCAGTGTTCTAAACAGGTGCAGTACTTGAGGGTATTTCACTATATGAGCCTTTGGTACTGTAAGGGTTAACTTGATACTACTGTGACTAACTGGCAATATCACGTTCAGCTTCTACTTGAAAGACACATCACTTGAAATGACTAAAAGAATGCAGCAGACCACCAGAATGAACTGGACAAGTGAAGACTGAGAGGCGAATTAATTTTCTTTTTTCTGACGGGGGAACAAAAAAGCATTTGTATAGTGCATATCCCAGCTCAACAACAAGCCTTATGTGCTTTACAATCCACGTTATTACCCCAGCAGACCCGCCTAGAATACTCAGAAACATTCTTGGCTCCCCGTGAAGCATACAGTGCAAATAGCAGATTCATCATCATCCAGTGCCAGAGTTGCGACAGACATCAGCGATTATGGTTCTCCATTCATTCCTTTGCCCGGATGCTCTTAAGAAAACTATGTTTCCCTGATTTTTCCCCGTTACCCATTTGTTTAGGTTCCCTAAGTAGGTTGCTCCTGCCTTGTCTGTCTTCAATTTTGCCAGTGAGAGCTAGATGTCCAAGATTAAAATAGCAGATTAAGTGCTCAAAATCAAAAACACTGACCAGATCTTTCAGTGTCTATAGGCAGGTGCCCATTTCCACCTGAGCGAAGTGAGGAAAATTTGAGTCGGGTGCCTTAACAGACAGATATAGAAATTAATTCGTACCAACTGCAGTGAGGAGACTCAACACACGGTGCTACAAATGAGAGAGAGAGAGAGAGAGAGAGAGAGAGAGAGAGAGAGAGAGAAAGAGAGAGAGAGAGAGAGAGAGACTGAGAGAGAGAGAGAGAGGGAGAGAGAGAGAGAGAGAGAGAGAGAGAGAGAGAGAGAGAGAGAGAGAGAGAATGTTATAAGGAGCGGGTGTTTCAGCACGTGAAACATGTATTTACTAAAGTCCTGTCCTGTGCGTATGCGTGAGTGCACCTAACCTTTGTAACATCTACTGCCATTGTAAACGACCAACTTTTCCCTGCGAGATGAATAAAGATTGTCATTTCCCAATCTGTCCCCACGATTTAATGCAAAAAAAAATTCTGAAATTAGGCAAACTGAGCCCAAAAAAGTGAAATTATGCGATTCTGTTAATTTTAACCAAAAATGATAAAGGAAAATAATCAGATATTATTTCTAAAAATGATTAATTTTTGCTAAATTATGGGGGGTGCATAAAACCACAGGGACAGCCCAATGAACTGCAGCTCCAAAACTTACACTTCTTGAAAGAGAAAACTTTGTCAGCTTTTTTCTTCTCCTTGTCTTTGTCTTTGTCCTTCTCCTTCTCCGCGGTTGTCGTCATTGTCGTTGTTGTTGTCGTTGTCGTTGCGGTGGTGACGCTGGGTGCCATTCCGAGGACGAACTTGAGCGAGTCGACGGAGAAGCCAGAGTCTCTGAGGAGTGACCGCGTCGCCTTCTCCTGGCTGCACAGAAAGACATTGCCAGACGGGACGTGAGAACAGGACGGAGTTACACACAGGTACGTTTCCTTAATTCTCCTAATGTAGGTACAATTGTTTAATAAAACGGATGAAAGTTTTTTCTCTCTCCTGAAATTTTACTTTTTGGGGGCTTAATATAGCTGAACAGCTTGTCAATGATATGCATACATGTACCTTTGCATAGCCAGGTATCTATCTCCTCCTCCCCCCCAATCTCTTTCTCTTCCAATTTTTGTATTTTCTGAGTCATATGTTATAAAGTGTGTGGATGTATGGGACAAAAGCCATTAAAATATCTCACTCTCTCTCTCTCCTTCCCTCATCCCCACCCCCCATCCCCAAACCTTTCTTCCTCCCAGATACAACGAAGACAAATGAGCCCTCACCTGCTGCCCCCAAAGCGCACAATGACCCCTCCCCCCATCACCTGCTCCCCCCACAGCACACAATTAGCAGAGCCAT